TCAGGAGAGAATGCCTCTAGAACATGGCCATATAGCTCGAAAAAACCTACAACAACCCACTGTTTTTGTTTTGTTTTGTTTTCATGTCAGGAGAGACTTGAGAAACTGCAAGTCACTTCTGGAGCCCCCAGTAGCATAGTGGGTTAAACCTTTGTGCCGGCAGGACTGAAGACTGACAAGTCGCAGGTTCGAATCCGGGGAGAGCATGGATGTCAGCTCTGTCAGCTCCGACACCCCATGTGGGGACATGAGAGAAGCCTCCCACAAGGGTGGTAAAACATCAATGGGCAATGTCCTTGCAGATGGCCAATTCCCTCTCACCAGAAGCAACTTGCATGCATGGATTGTGATTTGAATTGAACTGGGCCATTTATTTAATGAGACAGTGCCAGGTAAACTTGGGGTTAGTAGCCCAGGGTTCCACTGTAAACAAGCAATTAAACCAATGTTATATAGAATACTTACAAAATCATTCAGCAGCAGGAACGGAGCAACAGTAACAATTAAAAAGTCTACCAAATAAATATAAACCCACAATAATGAACAAGAACTGTTTCCCACGCTTATCATTTGTATCTTATTTGGGTGTTTTAGCTGTTATCTTATTAACAGAACATGGTTTTGGAATAGATTTTAGATTGTCTCTTTTCCTTGAAAGGAAGAACCTCTTAGGGCCCTTCCACAAAGCCTTATAATCCAGAATATCAAGGCAGATAATCTACAATATTTGCTTTGAACTAGATTATCTGTGTCCACACTGCCATATAATCCAGTTCAATGTGGATTTTATACAGCTGTGTGTATTTCTTGTATTTCTTCATTTTTCCTTGTGTGATAATGTCCTCTCCCTGTAATCCCAATACTACAAAGCAGATGAAGGTCTTAGGAGAATGCCAAAACTTCAGTTGTGGCACAATAGAAAAAAATTGCAATGCACATGTACTAGAATGGGCAAATGTAATTGAGAAGCAAGGCTATGTGTAAGACTTCATTGTGGATTTGCTCCACCCTGGTGCCAGTATTGCACAAGTGTGGCAAAGTGTGGGAGATAATTGCAAAAATGGTGTTTTCATTTGCTTAAGCAACTTGATTGCAACAAGACAACAAAGCTGATGTGATAATCCTTGGGATCTATCTGTATCTGATACTTCGTGACTATGTCGCCACAATGGTATCGGGTTTTTTCCCCATGTCGCTTGATGGGAATGGATTCAGAGTCTACTCCTATGTTATTATAATGGCACAAAGGCAGGTACAGCATGCTGTCCTCTGATACCATACTTATAAAGTGGGAGCTTGAAGACAACTTGGGAAGCGGAAGCACTGACAGCTGAGTTGTTTATCTGGAACTGAGGTGACACCTGATGTGGGAGATGCTCATAATTTTATCTGACCTTGAAGTTCTTATATTACTGAACCATCACAATAATGAACCATACTAGTCTGATTGCAGTATCATTGGCCTAGAGCAGGGGTCCTTAAACTAAGGCCCAGGGACTGAGTACGGCCCTCCAAGGTCATTTACCTGGCCCTCGCTCAGGGTCAACCTAAATCTGAAATGACCTGAAAGCACACATTAACAACAATAACAACCATCCTATCTCATCAGCCAAAAGCAGGCCCACATTTCCCATTGAAATACTAATTTTATATTTGTTAAAAAATGTTCTTCATTTTAATTATTGTATTGTTTTAAGTGTTGTTGTTGTTTTGTTTTGTTTTTTTGTTTTTTGTTTTTGTTTTTTTGCACTACAGATTAGATATATGCAGTGTGCATAAGAATTCATGGGGTTTTTTTCTTCAAATTATAATCCGGCCCTCCAACAGTTTTGAGGAACTGTGACCTGGTCCTCTGTTTAAAATGTTTGAGGACCCCTGGCCTAGAGTCAACAGAAGTGGAAGGCTTGTTCCATAATTGCTTTATGTTAGTGGTTCCCAACCTTTTTTTGACCAGGGACCACTTTGACCAAGGACCACTCTCCAACATTAGTACCAAAAGGGTTATGAATCTGTTTTTGGTCAGCTTTGGATTCAGTTTGGTTATTTGGGGCACTGATTCAGAAAATTTCATTGGATAGACCACATAAACTCTAGTTTCCGATGCATAACATATGTCATCCAGTTGTCACCATCTGCTCACCCAAAGAAAACCATATTTAATAATCTATATATATTTTTGGTAGGGCTGTGGTATTTTGTTAATGTTCATGTAAAAAATAGGAGAAGGGGCTGAGGTTGAAAAAAAATACAAAAAGTAAAGCACGGCTTTCTCTTGCCTCCTTGGAAGGGGGTATGGTCTGTGGGGTGTCGCAACGGTGTAGTAACAGTGAGGTTGAGGACCACTAGAGCACAGGTTGGGAACCACTGCTTTATGTGAATGGAATATCTGCCTTCCATCATCTCCTTTGAGGACTGAGAAGCTCCATGGAGAAGTAATTGAGAAATGCTATGCTTTGTAGGAGAACACAGTTTAATATCATCAATCATATACTCAAAGCAAATAATACTTTCCTTGGGTGACTAGCCATTTTGTGGCAATCAAAACACTTCTTTATTCTAGGGCAGCCTTGTTTCATCAGTAATAAAACACTGGTGTCTGCGGGCAGAATGATTGGCAGTATTTGGGCGGATGTAGACTGATAAGGTTTGGAGAGCTCTTTACAAATTACAAACAAGGGATTCCTGAGATTTCTGATAGGCTCTAATCTGTGTCAAGGAAAGTATGCAAGGAGGAAAAGTGAGAATTGGATATACATATGGGGAAAAGGGAAAATGGGTGAGGCAGATTAGCACTAGTTTCATTCCCCTCCCAATGTGGCATTGTTAATGAATACGTAGCACTATGGTTGGATCTATGCTACCATATAATGCAATTTGGAACAGTATTATATGGTCAGTGTAGACCCACTGCCTGAATTAGTACCCTGAATTATGGTACTAGTTCAGGCATGGGCAAACTTGGGCCCTCCGGGTGTTTTGGACTCCAACTCCCACAATTCCTAACAGCCTACCGGCTGTTAGGAATTGTGGGAGTTGAAGTCCAAAACACCTGGAGGACCCAAGTTTGTCCGTACCTGAACTAGTGTCATTCTTGCCACAGTGTGACTCTCTTTCCATCAAATCCGAAAGGATCGGCAGGAAGGGGGAGAATGCCTCATTTAAATTCAAGCAAGTATAAGTAACATAAGTCTGTTAAATAAATTAATTGTGTCTACTGTGGATTTGGATAATTATGCAAATTAAAAAATGATTGTGGAGGAAAACAAGGCTTTATTTCATACTGAACGATTATAGCACTTTGATCTAACTGCCATGTCTCCATGCAATGGAATCCCAGGATTTTTAATGTATTTAGATTACTTAGCTACAGAGCTCTAGCAGCTTGGCAAACTACAAATCCCAGGATTGGATAGGATGCAGCTATACCAATCAAAGATGGTATAACTGTGTACTGTCAAAGGATATTTACAAATGTGGATATTAAATACCCATAACCAATGCTAACGAATGTCACTCTTGGCTGGTTTAGGATGGAAATAGATGTGTTAGAAAGCAACCAGAGAGTTATTGTTCTATTAGTGTAATCCAAGATGGGAGAATTGGTAGAGTGGGATGCTGAATTTTACCCCTGCTGTTCATAAACCTACATGTGAAAACTTTGCAGAAGAAAATCAGTAAATAAGAGAGAGAGGGGTCCTTCACATCCAACGATTCTCTAGTGCTATGTGTCCATCTTGGCTCAGCAAACCTGACCGATGTCTGTATGTGTTCATTCAGAATATTTATTTACCTAAATAAGTCCTCTGCTCCTATGACCCTCTTAAGAAGCCAAATACCCCTTGCGATAGCCTCTGCTATTGAATTTCACATGATTGTTCTAACACAGTCCATTAATGGGGATAGGAAGATATATATCAATTGATGATGCTCCTGGTTGTGTTGTGTTGTGTTAGGAAGGACATGTTCTTTTACCCAAGTCATTGGAAATTTTGGCTGCAAAATAAACTGGAGTAATCTACTCCAAACCCACCCTGGACACAGCATGGGAGCAACGCAAACCCTTTGCTATTTGCAATTCTTATAGTGGATCAAAGACTAGAAGCAGCACATCTATCTATCTATCTATCATCTATCTATCTATCTATCTATCTATCTATCTATTTCCTGCATTTATTCAGAACCACTTTGAGTCCCCCTAGGGGTGAGAAAAGCAGTATATAAATACTGTAAATAAATAAATAATAAATAAATTTATAACCTGCCCTTCTTACTCCTGAAGGGTGGCCTCACAGCAAGCATGATCTTAGACTTCATGATGGTTCATTACAGGAGATATGTTCAGACAGGTAAACTGGGCCAGAACCGTTTAGGGCTTTACAGGTTAAAACCAGCACTTTGAATTGTGCTCAGAAGCAAACCGGCAGGCAGTGGAGGTGGTGTAACAAAGGGGTTGTGTGTTCCCTGTATGCTGCTCCAGTGAGCAACCTGGCTGCCGACTGTTGGACTAGTTGAAGCTTCTGGGCAGTCTTCAAAGGCAGCCCCACATAGAGTGTGTTGCAGTAGTCTATTCAGGATGTAACAAGTGTGTGGAGCTCCATGGCCAAGTCAGATATCCCAAAGTATGGGCGCAGCTGGTGCTGGTGCACAAGTTTTAATTGTGCAAAAGCTCACCTAGCCACTGCTGAGACCTGGTGTTCCAGGCTCAACAATGAGTCTAGGATCACAACCAAGCTTTTGTAGAACTGGCTGTACATGATCTGGATGGCTTGTATCGGGGTTGGAGTGAAAACGTTTTATGTATAGACACTGGGTTCAGCATAGGTTACAATGAAAGTCCCATGGTCAAAATATGCCACTGTAAATCTTTTGGATAGGGGACCCAGTGCTAACTTCAGAGCATGGGCATCAAGCGAGAGCCCATTTTTTAAATTTCAAGTTTCTCCTTGGCCGCAAAAGCAACCCCTCCTTAAAAAGATGACTTTTCTCATTGCTCACCACAGCCATGCACCTGTTTGGCCTAAACTGGCACCTGCAGCCGATGGAAGGGCAGATGTATGAGATCACGGAAGACACAGCCAGCAGTTGGCCAGTGCCAACGGACGTCTCCTTATATTCCTCAGGGGGCACGGGGTTAGAGTTACCTGACAGGAAAGGCAAAGGAGCCGGCGAAGGTATGGTTGGTGTGTTGTCCTTGTTTTGAGTCCTTTGTGTCTGCCTCTGAATTCCAGACATCCACCCTCATAGCTTCATCGCTCTTTGTTTCCCACCAGTTCCACCACCACATCTCAGAACTTTTCCCACTTCATCATATTCTAGAGTCAATAGTTGTCCATCCTCGTTTGCCTCTCTCCCATTTTCAGTGTTAAGTGCTAGTCCACAATCCTTCTGGAACCATCCATTAAGTGAAATATCTCTTTCCAATTGAAGAAGGATATTTCTCCACCAGAATTCTCCTGCCATCATTTCCTCTTTTAAATGTTATGCTCTTTTTAAAATGTTGCAACAACTTTCCTTCTTTCACAGGATTACAGGACACTGATAATGTTTGGGTTGTTGTAGGTTTTTCGGGCTGTATGGCCATGTTCTAGAAGCATTCTCTCCTGACATTTGTTACAGTAAGTCATAGCAGGATCAAGTGTGTTTGTTAAAGAAAAACCTTATGATGTTAATTATTACGTGCAGCTGGTAGTGTAGGTCAGCCAGCATGTTTGGGCCACACCCGATGGGGTATAACTGTATGGATTTTAGAATACAGTTTGGAGAAGCAATATGCTGCCCTGAAGCGATGCTCTTTGCTATGGTGGAATAACTATTTACTCAAGGTTTATGRTTTGCTRTCTCATTTGAATGAAGATGAAGAAGCTGTATTCTGTGTTACTTACAAGGACTACCGTATATACTCGAGTATAAGCCGACCCGAATATAAGCRGAGGCACCTAATTTTACCACAAAAAACTGGGATAACTTATTGACTCAAGTATAAGCCGAGGGTGAGAAATGCAGGAGTTACTGGTAAATTTCAAAATAAAAATAGATATCAATAAAATTACATTAATTGAGGCATCAGTAGGTTAAATGTTTTTGAATATTTAGATYAAACATAAAACTTGWATATTTACATAAGATYAGACTGTCCAGCTCTGATTAAATKATTATTCTAATCTTCAGTGTAAATGTGCTTATGTATCCTTCCAATAATAATAAAGATAGTAAAATAATAATAATAATAATAATAATAATAATAATAATAATAATAATGAAATCCAGRATATATACCTCYTTTGCTGTGTCATACTGTGTTTTTGTGTCAGGATAATAATAATAATAATAGTAATAATAATAATAATAATAATAATAATAATAATGTAAAATAATGGAAATGTAATAACAGTGATAACAGAGTAAAATTATACATACAGTAACAATAAAAATAAAGTAAAATAAATATAATAAATAATAATAGAGTAAAGTAATGTAAATAGAATAATAATTAATATATTAAAATAATTCATGTAATAAAATGATACTAATAACAAAGTAAAATAATAAATAACCTTGACTCGATTATAAGCCACAAGAAACTTTTTCAGCCTTAAAAGGGGCCTGAAAAACTAGGCTTATACTCGATTATATACAGTATGTAAGTTTGTTGCACTGTTTGATTTTGTATGCAACACTGCAAGTTTATGTTTTGCCTCTGCTGATAAGAGTAAAGTTTTTATTTTCCTTTTTTCCCTCTTGCCTGTGTGCCTATTGCATTGGACCTGGCTAAAATCAGCTTCTGCGCAACAACATTTTACCTGCATCTATGGCAGGCATCCTCAGAGGTTGTGAGGTCCTCACAACCTCTGAGGATGCCTGCCATAGATGCAGATGAAACATCAGGAGAGAATGCTTCTAGAACATGGCCATACAGCCCAAAAAACCTACAACAACCCAGTGATTCCAGCCATGAAAGCCTTCGACTATACACTGATCATGTTTGCTTGTTCAGCTTTCTCATATAGGGTTGTTACTATTGGAGGACTAACCTCAGAACACAATTATTAGATCTCCATATCTGCGGGAATACATTCCTAGCAAGACTGCAGTTACCTGAAAGCTTGGAAATGACCAAACGCCATCCAGTTACCTGATTTTTGATCCTGGTTTATCAAGGGGCCACTCTAAATAACTCAGGAATCACTTGAGAAGTCTCTTCTGCAGGAATTTGCTAGATCCTCCAGCTTTCATCACTCCAACCGTTGCTTACAAAACTTTACTATATGTAAAATTATGAATGTTAATTTCTTTCTGCACTATAACTTAATGCCAAGTTTTCCTGCTTGCGTCTTATCTGCTTCTGCAAATTATTATTCTGGATGGTCCAGCTGAAGAGATATAGAGGGTAAACCCAATGTGAACCTCCCTGAGTCCCCTTCGGGGTTGAGAAGGGTGGTATACAAATATCGCAAATTAATCTATATAAATAAAAATGTAATGTTCGTTTGTGGAATTAACAGAACTCAAAAACCACTGGACGAACTGACACCAAATTTGGACACAAGACACCTAACAACCCAATGTATGTCCTTTACTCAAAAAAATTGATTTTGTCATTTGGGAGTTGTAGTTGCTGGGATTTATAGTTCACCTACAATCAAAGAGCATTCTGAACCCCACGAACAATGGAACTGAACCAAACTTGGCACACAGTTCTCCCATGACCAATGGAAATACTGGAAGGGTTTAGAGTGCAGTGCCCTTTGGCTTTGGAGTTGTAGTTCACCTACATCCAGAGATCACTGTGGACTCAAACAATGATGGATCTGGACCAAACTCTACAAGAATACTCAATATGTCCAAATGTGAACACTGGTGGAGTTTGGGGGAAAATTGAATGTTGACATTTGGGAGTTGTAGTTGCTGAGATGTATAGTTCACCTACAATCACAGAGCATTCTGAAACCCACCAACAATAGAATTGGGCCAAACCTCCCACACAGAACCCCCATTTGGGCCACAGCAACGCGTGGCAGGGGACGGCTAGTAAATAAATAATAAGTGATACTGATATTCATATGAGCTAGCATCAGACCCACAATTTTTACTGGTCCCAATCTGATTACATTTGGTTTTAACCCTGGAGTTTCAGGAATTGAAAATCGAGGAAGACGCTCAGTAAACCAGATATTTCAAAAATGTCTAGTTCATAAAATGCAGAATAGAATAACTTTATAGAATAACAGACATTGAACCCCTCCTGTTCTCATAAAATCCCAGAAATTATTACATGTAGATATATCCAATGTGCAAATTAGTTAAATCTTGTTGGATTGTTAGACCTCCATCCAAAATATTTTATTTGTAAGCAGAAAGGGGTGGTTGTTTAGTTTTAGGTAAGCTTGCTTAGGAATGTCAATTTAATGTCTAGATGCTGTCTCTTTCCCTTCTTAATTGTCTTAAGAAGGGCCCGTGTCTTGTGTAGCGTTTCCGGCTTTCCGGAGATGCCAAGAGGCATTGTCACTTACTGTAACTCGTAAGCTGTTCAGTCCGACACGAAACCAGCCTTCACTCAGGGAAAAAACATTGACAGCTTGACAGACTATGAGATAACATCTAATGAGTAAATCCATGGCAGAAATACCTGGAGGAGGTGAAGTCTTGACTTTTTCAAAACCGATCACTACCCACCTTGGTAGCGAGTCAGGATTTGGCTCTCAGTAGGAAAAGAGTATTTTTCCCCCATCTAAAAGAAAGGTGTTTTGCTGATGCAAACAATGTGTTTTTGAGTTAAATACCAACTGAATCAAAATCATCTCCAGATTTTCAATATGCATCATACTTGGAAAGCAAAGGACTCAGCAATAAGTTGGTTCAGCATGCATATTTAAAATAGCTTTCGTTTGGCTCTAAAAGATGCCTTCCTACTTCTGCATACAATCCACTCCCAAGTATTCTAGCTTTGATTTTTTTTTCTGTAAGGACTATGATTTGTGTTAAAATCCAGAGAGTCTGCCTCTCTCTATCAGCCACAGTTATTGTCCTGACCTAGATACCTTCTACTCATAGTAAACCCTGATGTTTCAGTCAAGGCTACCATATTTTCATTTGATTTCATATATGTAGTTGAGCATGATACTGTCCTGTTTTAAAAAGAATATCCAGTATATGATCAAGCTTGGAGAAAGTATGGAAATACAGTGTTCCCTCACTGTATTTCCATTGTGTATTTTACACCAGGATTGTGGCGCAGCTGGCTGAGTGTCAGCTGCATTAAGATCACTCTGACCAAAAGGTCATGAGTTCGAAGCCAGCCCAGGTTGGAGTGGGTTTCCAACCAATTGTGTAGCCTGTTGTCGACCTTTGCAACCCGAAAGACAGTTGCATCTGTCAAGTAGGAAAAATAGGTACCCCCTTAAAGTGTGGGGAGGCTAAATTAACTAATTTATGAGGCCATAAAAAAAAAGGCGCCGCAGAGTCTCCGGAGCCACACAGCCAGCAGCAGGTCAGGGAGGCAGGCCTTCCCCACCACACCTCAGGCTGCCTCACATCCAGGGTCCCTGACCTCCACTGGACATAAATATTTTATATTTTATATTAATATTTTCAAAAACCCACGAAACAGCAAATCCGCTAAAAGTGAACCGCAAAGTAGCGAAGGAACACTGTATTACTGACAAGAATATTTGCTCTCTCCAAGTGGAGGGACAGGAGTAAACTTTACAAAGATGGTCCAAGCATGTTTATTTATTTATTTGGGGTTCTTTTACCCCGCCCTTCTCACCCCGAAGGAGACTCAGGGCGGCTTACAAAAGCAAGGCACAATTTGATGCCTGCATCATAAAAACAATCAACACAAAATTACATCAATACACAGTTAACACCAAATATACATTATAACCATAAAATCAATAAAATCAATAAAACCAAATACAAACCCAGTTTCTCCTCTTACATGGTCAGCGTTCGCTACTCATAGATCTAGTTTTACGTTCCACTTCATCAATCCTGCTGGTCTTACTCGCCTGATTGGACATGATAATTGCCGGAGTGCCCAAAGGCCTGGTCCCATAACCAAGTCTTCACCCTTCTCCTAAAGGCGAGGAGGGATGATGATGCCCTGATTTCCCCCGGGAGTGAGTTCCACAGGTGAGGGGCCACCACTGAGAAAGCCCTGCTCCTCGTCCCC